GCTTTACGAAGGAGTTATCACCTCAAAAGCATGTTCTATTCGTACAACAACTACATCTTACAGATATTAGCCAGTTGATATTTGGATCAGGTGACAGCTTTCAATAAGACGCTGTCTCCTGGGGGGGTGTGTTGTGCTGGGTCTACTTTCTCTTTTGCTCCACTTCCTGATTTGATCCACTTATAGCTCTGCTGCCTAAATGCTTCATGTCTGCCTAAAGCTTACACTCTTTATATAAAAACCTTAGATAGCTACCTTTTACAATGCAATCAATTCTCCATGACCTTCAGTACCCAATACCCTTTCAACCCAATATATAGATATAAAAGAGCTAAGTATTACTTTATATATCTTTCCTAGAATATAATTATTCTAAAAGTGTTATGTAACTAAAATAGTTCTATAAAGGGTTTAGATAAATCTAATCGCTTTATTTCTCTTAGTCTAGGTATACTAATACTATTATTTTACTTTTACTAGAAGTTTAGTATAATAACTTAACTTATAGTAATATTTAAGAGAGATAAGTATTATTTCAATTACCTTTCCTTAAATATAATTACTCTAAATGCGTTATATAACTAAATTAGTTCTATGAAGGGTTTAGATAAATTTAATCGCTTTATTTCTCTTAGTCTAGGTATACTAATACTGTTATTTTACTTTTACTAGAAGTTTAACTTAATAACTTTTTATATTATATAATAGAGATAGGTATACTCTATATATACTTAAATTATAAAATTTTTATTCTAAAGACCTTATTAACTAAAATAAGTAACGTGGTTTATCAGCGAGTCGATCATATTGTCACGAATCACGTGCACACGTGATAAGTGAAGACCAGGCGGCGTCCTGACAGGTCAAGCACATCAATAGACTTATAGCAAATAAGGGATCGTTTGGGCTAGCTAAGCGATCCAGGGATTTCCTTGGGTTGGAATCACGTGACCAGCGACATGGCCGACACGGTCGACCGTGTCGACCATGGGCGACTGTTCGACCATGGCGACCATGGGAACGAGGGTTCTATATAATACTGGCACGTCTGCCATTAGATAGGAGCTTCGTGCTCAACTTAGTTATCAATCTTATCATATTAGTTTGACATCTTTGATACAAGTAACGAGTTCACTTCCAAGTGAACAACCCGATAGTCTTCTTCTTATCATAGCATACCAACCAGCGAACACCCAGCCAAGTTTAGTTAGCCAGTTTGAGTATTCGTTACAGGTAGAACGATAAGTTTCTTTTACTATTCGAAGTACTTTGTACTGTTTTTACTATCTTTACTACTTTTAAAGTAGTACTAGTGTTAGTATAATCAGGTCTTAGGTAGAAAGGAGGGCGGTTACGTACTACTATCTAAGATAGTACGGTATACACTCTATATATTAGCTAGAACACCATACTCTCCTTTAGAACTTCTACGTAATATAACCAAATAAAGTTATACCGTATCCTATTACTTCGCTAGTGATACCAACAGATATAGATATACCTGGTGCACTAGGTACTGTAGAGAAATTTTGTAGGTACCTATTATGAATGGGTATCTGGTTGGTGGGTTAGTTGGTTTTTGGGGGGATGTGTAGATGTGTGTGTTTGTATGTTAGTGTGTTTGTGTGTATTAGGGTAGGTTATAGTATTGAAATTTAGAGATAATTCAAATGAGAGTTTTGTATGTGTTGAATTGCTTTAGTTGTAGATTTAGGGAAGAGTACCTAGGTAGGGTATCTTATGGGTTCTTGAGGTGAGGACCAGGTTCAGGTTCATCTACGAGTAAATGTTTCTTGAAGGGAGAGAAGAGAGAGGAGTTGAAGAATTGGAGACTTGGAGACTTGGGGTGTGGTTACACGGTACCTGTGGCTGATAGGTAAATGTGATAGGTACTGCCTAAAACAGTGAACTATATAAAGGTTGTTGGGTTTCTTGTGTTTGTTGGATATGGATCAAATAGTGGGGATGAAGTGCTGAATGGTCCATTGATGTTTGGTGGTCTTTTTGTTGGGTAATTGTTAAATTAGTACTCATATATAGTTAAGCTAAGTTGGTAATTGATTGAAGTTACTAGCACTTCCAAAAACTCCTTATCTTAAATATCAAGATTAAGATGTAACAAGAAGTCAAGTGAGCCGCGTCCTTAGTACTGTACAACTCTGTAAATGCAAACAAGCTATCCTTAGCTACAGCCCGCTACTCTTTAACCGTACAGAAGGTATTTTACCCGTGTCCTGTAATTAAATCCGCTGCCTACAAGATTAAAGGCCAATCTTTTGCGCTGGGGAAGTGGCTTGGAATCGGATACGAAATAACGAATGAGAGGAGGGGGAGCAGGTGGGTTTAGGCTATTGTGTGGTGTCACTGGTGTGCCGTGCTTACTATACATAGGGGACGTGGGGCTGTGGTTCCCCGCTGTGGGTAGATGTGTACCGTGAAATTGGAGACTTGATGTGTCTTCATGAATTCTTTTGATAATAAGTTCAGGTTCTAGAATCTGGCGATTTCGTTTGGAAATAAGTTCCGTATTTCGAAAGAGCTTTGCACTTCTACCACTAAGACTAGGATTCTCTACTTCCTGTACAGAGGCTCCGGTAGAAGAAGCTGCGGAACGAAAATGAAGCTGCACATATTTCTGTCATTAGTGTCAGTGTTAGGCTTTGAAAGATATGCGAATGCAGCTCTCAAAGATGGATTCCTTGGGACTCACTTCACGAGAACAGAGGATGTGGAAGAATTATACGATTACGTCGTAATAGGAGGGGGAACATCAGGTCTCACAGTTGCCGATCGACTATCTGAAAATCCGGATCGTATAACTTCCCTTCCATTTCCCATAAGTCCTCTTCTCATACTCCCCCTTCCCCTTCCCCCAAAATCCACTGACATACCCACAGATACGGTCCTAGTCATCGAATTTGGCCCTTTCGGTGACCCAACCAGTATCGGTATCGTCTACAGACCTCACATCCCTCTCATGCCTCAGCTGAGGTTTAACATCACGAGTGTGGGTACCTACCAAGTTCCTGTCATTGTGGGAGCGGTGGTGGGGGGTTGTTCGGCGATCAATGCGATGGCGTTCCAGAGGGGTCAGAGGGATGATTATGAGAGGTGGGAGGAGCTGGGTGGTGGGGAGGGGGGTGAAGTTGGGTGGGGATGGAAAGGGATGTGGGAGTATTTCTTGAAGGTTTGTTGTTGATTTTCTTTATTGTGGTTTTGGTTCGAGGTTTAGTATGGCTTGGAAGGAGTTTCTAAGGCATTACCGAGATGGTGTTCTGAGGATTAGAGGAAAATGGAGTGAGGCTGATGACTATGAATAGGCTTCGAGGTTCAAAGAACCGGATCCAGGACTGGCAAAGCAGTTTGGGATTAGATATGATAGAAGGCATTGGGGGAGCGAGAACGGAACTGGTGTTTGGGCAAGTTGGGCTAATTTTCAATGGCCCGCTACTAGTTGAGTTTCCCCTCTATACTTTTCCCCAATAAATGGAAACTGCTAACTAAGCCACTAATAGAAATTTTGTATGAAGCGTGGAAAGACATTCCAGGTATTGAGTACCCGGATGATAATGGTCAGGGAGAAAGTGGACCACAGTGGTTTCCGAGGTAAGAAGTCTTTCGAGGTGTGTATTGATTATGAACTGAAATTCAGCTCGAAGCTCCGTTGATCCAGCGACGATTACACGCTCTTATTCCAATACAGCACATTATCAACCTTATAAATCACGACTGAATTACCATCTCATTACCGAACACAAAGTCTCAAAAATCAACTTTGTAACTGCCGACGGGAAAGAACCAAAAGCCGAAAGCGTAACTTTTGTTTCACGAGAAACTGCAGAGAGGAGAACAGTGTTTGCGAGGAAGGAAGTTATTCTTGCGGCTGGTGCAGTGCATTCGCCGCAGATATTGCAGAGAAGTGGTGTGGGGCCAAGAAAGTTGTTGGAGGAGGCGGGAATTGAGCTTGTGAAGGAGTTACCAGGTGTTGGAAATAATTTCCAGGACCATACGAGTTTGAATTTGGGATATAATTGTGAGTTCGTTGTTCTTGCATATATCATATATTCTTTGAACAGCAAAAGAATAGGTTGTGTCGGGATAAACTGAAACATCCTAGTCACAACGCAGCCATTCCCAAATCTGGATGCTTTAGCAACAAATGCCACATACCAAGCAGAAGTTGACGAAATGTGGAACAAAACACGAGTCGGTAAGTTCACATCCTAGTCCTAAGCGACGACGCCTCGCTTAACTCAAACTCTAAATAGGCCCCTATTCAGCATGGGGAAACACAGCATCTCACGCCTTAGTCTCCTTTCCCGTCATCTCTCCAGATACCTACCAAGATCTAGCCAACCAAATCGAAAACCAAGATCCCGCAGCTTATTTTCCACCCGGAACCCATCCGACAGTCATTGTAGGGTACAAAGTTCACCTCCGCGTCCTCGCCAAAGGGATGCGTTCTAAGAATACGGGCTGGATACAAATTGCCAACGCACCGTCAGGAAATGCGGCACTCACGAACTCTCACCCTTTATCGCGGGGAACCATCATGCTCAACACCTCAGATCCAGAGGGCGAACCAGTCGTAGATTACCGCGCCATGTCAAATCCACTAGACATCAAAATCTTTGTTGAGATGATAAGACTGATGCGTAGATACGTTCTAGCAGATGCAATCATCAAACAGCTTTCTCCAGTGTGGTACAACCCCCCGTTAGAGATGACAACCGATGAAGAGATTGGGGATTGGACTAAAAGAACGGATGTCCTACTACCCACTGTGTATCATCCTATTGGGACGTGTTCGAAGATGCCGCGGGAGTGGGGAGGTGTTGTGAGTGAGGACCTGAGGGTTCATGGGGTGGAGTGGTTGAGTGTTGTTGATGCTAGTATTATTCCGAGTTTGGTGGGGGCTACTACTGGCCAGAGTGTTTATGCTGTCGCTGAGAAGGTTCGTTTCATCTCAACTCTCGAAGTATAGAAAGATTGTTGTTGGGGGCTCAGTGATTGCTAATTCTAAAATCAGGCTGCAGATTTAATTAAAGCTCGTGGATGATACTCATAGATCGTGGAGCGAGAGAGGAACGTTATTTTTAGTGACCACTGTAAGGTGGTACTCCGTACTGTATTTACTACTCGGTAGTTGGTAGTCGGCTCAATGTTTTGCTCTTTCGTAAGACACTCATTGTAGCGAGATCTCGCAAGTACACATGTAATGTGGGAATCAGGCAAACGTGTGTTAGAAATCCAAACTCTAGTCTATATTCTCAAGTTTCCGAATCATCATTGACATCAAACTCCTACAATGCAAATATGAAGACATCGCTGCTAACAATATAGTGGGCCACCAGCTCCCATAAAAATGAACCTGCTGCCTCTCCACACGTGTTGGAGTCGGTGGTATGATTTGACGAGTAGATGCTTTCATCAATCGCGGCGGATTCTGATGAGCACGGAGTTGTTGTGTGCAGATCAGGGTAATCTTATTGAGTTTGACCATCGACACCGGTTCTATAGCGATAATACCCCCGGCCGTTAGGGCTCATGATCCATTCACTCCATTCACTCCATTCTGTAGGTTCAGAGGTATATGTGTTGCTACCACCTTTCGAAGCGGTCCATTTACCCGGATTGGAGTTGCTGCGGTCTTGCGGCATAACCAGAGTATTCTAGACGATTACCACACTAGGTCTTTGATCGACTTTGTCCATAACAGGTAATATTTTCTGGTATTGCTTCAATGGAGGTGGTAGCGGCTGAAGAAAAATTGGGCGGAGCGGAGGCGAAGCGTGATAAGGTGAGGGAAGGTGGGAGTTGCAGAGGGTTACGAAAAACGAAGCATCAACGGTGGTTGAGAGGGCGCCAACACCTCATGGGTAGACACCGTTATCTGTAGGTTCCGGCAGCAACCTTAATAAAGTGCAACTCAAAGCTTACTTCGTGGTGAAGCACGCTCAACACCACACAGTGTCGACTTTGTATGATCGAGATGGTGATGACGAGGGCAGCTATGCCGGCATGGTTGAGTTCTTGTATAATGCGGTGCGGTCTCGTCTCCACAGCACTCAAGGTGGAATGATGATGATAGGTCTGGACAAGCAGGGGGGCTCCGCTTTTGTCCCAAACACCTGGATGCTGTGTAACCGATAAGGAGCATTCTAGCACCGCCATGCTTCTTCCTATATAAGATATGATGGATCATGAAGGCCTTTTCTTCAACTCCTTCTCAATTTCTCTATTTCAACAAACGATCCCTATCACTCTATCTCCCTATCTCTCTACCCCCCCTTGAAGCACCCGACAACTCGGTAAAGCACCGTCACGTGCCCTAGATATCACGTTACGGTACTCACCACTGGATTGAGGTCATGTCTGAAGGAGATTTCACAGGTCCAAGTTACCCACGATGTCGACATAAGAAAACACACGTCAGAACATGAACCCCTCCTGCAGTAGAAATTCGAATGGTTGACCTTTACCGTAGTGCGTACGAAGCAGCTCAGGTCCCCCCCAACCTTGCAAAGATTGCCAACAGTCTGTCAACATAGAAGTGGTGCTAGATCTTGACTTCCCCGAAAAGGGTAATTTTATTTTTGCAAACTTCTTGATCAGGAGGCTGACTTTTCCTTTAGCCAACGAAGTGTTCTTGAACAATCTCGAAAACATCGCCGAGCCCCTGAAAACAAACAGCGTTGCCTTAGAGAACCTTGACGTACTGTACGTCTTCCTTATATGAGGAGTTTTATATCTGAATGTCCATCTCTATTGACAGCATTGGATACAGCTGCTTATGAGATTCTCGGCGTCCGTCTGCGAACTGAATTCGAAAACTCCAATGTCACGACAGATCCGATTGAAATCGCGTCACTAATCGCAGGCTATCTCTGTTTTCTCATTCCTGCTGGTTATAACTACATTCCTCCGCTGGCTCAGGTTCATGAGGAAGTGGTAGCACCTACTCAGCCGGAAATCATTGTCAATACCTCTTTGTTACCGTTTCTAATCTCGCGAATTCGAGTCTCATCGAAAACAGTTTATTGATAGCCCTGAGGCTCTGTGGGATCTTTATTATTGTTTGTGATGTGATATAAGCATAAGATGAGAAGCAAAGTTTGGACTGACTTCTTCTAGATAGTCCCGCGGTATCATGCCCAATAGGGTGGGCGATAGCTGGTACAGCTAAAAATACCTTTGGGGGGGTGGATAGCACTTACTTGACGATTGGTCTAGAAACAACTGCTGTCCTCTGTTGTCCTTCGTATGTTTAGTCTGATGAATCAGTCACCTCTATATTTCTCATGACTGATCTTTTTCCACAGTGGCTTTACAAGCAAAGATTTTAATCACCAATGCGGATCCTCGTTTCCGGCAGGGCAGAATACAATCTCGTACAGAGCGCCTGTGTTAAAAAATGGCAACTGGGACATACCAAGAGATCTAAGTACGGTATATCGTACCATTACGGGCACAGGTGATTGGACTGTATTCGGAGATGGGATACCAATCTGGTTCCAGTCATCCGACAAAGTGGCTTTCACTGCATCCAAGACATCGTCCACTACCTCGCCAACAAGCACATCAGTTATTTCGTCATTGACAACGACAAGTCTACCAACCACTTCACCGCTCGTCCCTGTCCCTGAAAACTCAACAGATTCCGCCCAAGCTTCATCCCGGTTATCCACAGGCGCAAAAGCGGGAATTGGGATTGGCGTTGCACTGGGCGTCCTGGGGTTGGCAGCAATCGTTGCTTTCTTTCTATATAAGTGCAGACAACGTGCAACATACAATGATGTCAAAAGGCGTGACTTACCAGGTCACGATCCAAAGAGCTCTCCAGTGCATGATCTAGAGAGTTATCGCGGCACAATCCACAGCGAGTTATCGGGGCAAGACCAGCAGGTTGTACATGATTTACCAGACGGCGCGGGGAATCAACGCTTGATGGATAATTACAAATATCCTAGAACATGATTAGGCGACAATTACAGTGAGGGAGGACGCACAGCACATTCGCTCGCAGCCAAATTGCGGCCAATCTGAAACCTTACTATGGTTTCTACGCGCAACTTGGCATATGAAATGGCAGTTGAACTAGATTATCACACTATAGAGTTGGTTCTAGCCTACGATGCCTACGATGCCTTCACCTTATGAAGGTTTACAGATCTGGGTGGAGGAAAAGTGCCAAAGAAGAAGCACCATAACTGGAAGGAATCAACAACGAGAACCGACAATGCCCGAAGCTACTCTAGATATTGAGAGACCGAGGGACTAACAGAAACGACGGGTTGTTTGGTTTTACTGTCTTCGCTTCTTTTTGATGTATTAATGAGGTTGGTTTTGACGAGTATATAATACTATTCCACGATATGATGTGTTGCGTACCCATGGTACTTATTTTATTGATGTACCTGGAACTCGCATGTCCCGTCCGAAAATTTCACGCTACTATTGATACACTCCTTCGCATGAGATTCTTCCCTTACTCTAGGGCCTGACATTTAAGCAGCACATTATAGTGGTACAAGCCGCTGTACTCTTCGCAAGGGTTTTCGGACTCTACCATAGTTTACTCGCTAATGATAAGTGATGGGCAACGAACCGTTCATATATTTTTTCAAGTTCAGCATTCATTTCATATATTTTTCAAAAAGTTTGTTTCATATAATATAATTCAACAGATTCATGAACGTATTCGTGAATGTTTATACAATTTTTACGGAATCGGAACTATAAAAACCCGGGCCCACAAATATAGGTATACTACCTGTACCTGTATAGTCGTTATATCACGTTTTACCTTTTTCAAACCCCTAAGAACCCCCCCCCGCCTCTATTTTGTTTTAGCTTAGACAGACAGCGTAGGTATATAGAAAGCGATATTTAAGGAGGCATTAAGAAACTCTCGAGCTAAGTACGTCTTAGGACTATATATTCCCAACTTTAGTCACGTGTCTATATATACGAACGTTCATGAATTTCTATTCATTTTTAGCGTTCAGTTTATATAATTCACAAATTTTATTAGTACTAAAAGTTCAGTTCATATAACTATACGTTCATAAATATTGCGCGTTCAGTGTTTTTTGCCCATCCCTACGAATGACAGTCTCTTGTTGAAGGTAGTAAAATTTTAGGGCATCTACTGGTGTATTATAGGGTATTTAATAGGATGTTTCATATGCGGGCAGCTTAATTACACAGAACCTATAGGACTCTTGTGAGACTATGAAATTACTAGAAGCGTGTTCCTAAACAGTCCAAAAACCCCCGTAATATCCCACAAAGACAGAACCAGTTTACTATTTACATCCACGACCTCATGACAAATTCAAGCCAACTCCTCTACTCAACTCCTCAACTAAAAGCAAATCTATACTTAAATCGCTAAGTGTATGTTTCAAACGCCGCTTTTACCAATCGCGTACCATCTTAGCCTAAGTGGACCCTATAGTAGTAGTACACCTCCCTACATCTCCAATCACACCCTGCAAATAAGCTAAGCTACCATCTGGAGATGTCGGTACTTGTACTTGTCCAACGAACTGCATATGCATCCAAATTTACCCCGCGTTTCCATCCGGGCGAACAGCCTCGTTTAGGCGGGGTAATACTGTATGCCCATGAGCCAAATTACCGTACATTCTTCAGAGGATCAGTCATTTATCTCTGATGCTCAGATGGTAAGAAGATATTGCCAACTGCTCTAAGTTCTCTCCCTGTGTACGATTATAAGGAGGATTCCAAAAACAATGGGCTCTCGTGTCGGGATATATGTAAAGAACTGATGAATATTGATTGGTCTAGAACTTGAACCACTCCAATCTATTCAAAAGTCTTTCTTTCGCCACAAAGAGGAAAAACTACCAGTCTACCAATAACACCTCCACCCAAATCTTTCGCAGGGGTAAATGGTAAAATTCCTGTACATTAGCATCTCCCGTGGGGCACCTCATGATCTTCACCCACGTACTCTGAGCCCAACTACTTACCTGCGGGGCTTTATAGCTGCCATGGAGCCTCTTTTCCCTCCCAGCCTTCTAATCTTGAATTGAAGTAATTCTCTTCTTCACTTCCCAACCAAGTAAGGAAGAGTTTCGTCACAATGTCAGCCTCCATAGATCCAAAAGATACGATCTCAGCAAACCGTCGCATCTTCTTCGCCAACGCCATCGTAATACTGGGCGCCTTCCAATACGGCCTCGACTTTGGCCTAATAGGCGGTCTCCAAGCCATGCCAGGATTCCTCGAAGTTCGTCTTCCCCCCCCCTTCTCACTTCCCCCCTCTTCTCACCTAACAAAATCCAGGTCTTCGGCTTCCGCGCCCCGCAGACACCTTTAGGATGGAACCTCACAACCGAGCGTCAACAACTAATCTCCTCGCTCATGACGCTCGGCGCCTTCGTCTCGTCGGGCGGCGCAGGATTCCTGGCCATCAAGCTAGGTAGGAAACAATGTCTCTGGGTAGGCTGTGTGCTGTGCTGGGTATCGGACGTGATCATGATGACGACGGGGGAGATCAAGACGCTGTATGGGGGACGGTTTCTGAACGGGTTGGCGAATGGGTGTTTTATGACGTTTTCGCAGTTGTATATTCAGGAGGGCAGTCCGGCGAGGTATAGGGGGTTGTTCTTGACCGCGCTGCAGTTTAGTGTTAGTTTGGTATGTTATTCTTTCTTCCATTCTTGTTTGATTTGATTTTCTTGGATATCTTCTTTCTGCGAAGGAAAGGGTGGGGATGAACTATTAACATAACACCTCCCAAAAGGGAACCCTCATAGGAACAATCGTAGACTGGGCCAGCGCTCCAATCCCCTCCAAAACCGCGTACCTCATCCCCCTGGGAATTATTTACATTATCCCCTTGATCATGGCGCTGGGACTCTTCTTCATTCCCGAGTCACCTCGTTGGCTCCTCCTCCAAGGCCGTCGCGAGGAGGGCGTAAACTCCCTTCGACGACTCCGTCCCACAGGCTGGGACTGCGAGGACGAAGCCGCGGTCATCGCCGCTGCCATCGAGAAGGAATTTGAAACCAGTTCTGGTGTTGGGGTCTGGGATATTTTCAGGACGAGAGTCGATAGGAGACGGACCGTGATTGCGGTTTGTGGGTTGACTTCCCAGGCGGCGACGGGGAGTATGTTTATCATCGGTATGTATTATCTTGTATCCTGGTTTTCCAGGTGTATGATTTGGAAATGGTGATGTTGGATATACTGACGGGGTATCCAGCATACAAAGCATATTTCTTCTCCATGGCCAAAGTCAAGGATCCTTTCGCGATGAGTTGCGTCCTCAGCACCATCGGGCTCATCGCCCTGATCATAAACTCTCTCATCGTAATACGCTACGGTCGTCGTCGTGTCCTGTTAATGTCCGGATTGACAACCTGTGGAATCCTACAGTTAATCATTGCGATCATGTATCATAAACATCCCGGTGCTCCGGTGACAGGAAACGTCCTCGTTGCTTTGTCATGTTTATACCTGATGTCTTATAATGTTCGTTACACCTCTCTTCCTCTCGCCCTATTCCAGAAAGACATGAACTGACAAACACCTCTTTGCACAGGGCATGGTATCTCCCTACGCCTGGCTTGTCGGCGGCGAAATCCCCTCTCAGCGTCTCCGATCATATGCATTCGGACTCGCTTCCGCAATAGGATTCTTCATGGCCTGGCTAACACAATTCACGGCTCCTTATTTCATAAACCCCACGGCCCTAAATTGGGGTCCACGGTATGGATTCATCTGGTTTCCAAGTAGCATTATTGCAGCGATTTGGGTGTTCTTTTTTTTGCCTGAAACGAAGGGCAGGAAGTTGGAAGAACTTGACGAGATGGTGAGTGAACCCCACGCGTCTGAATTGTTGGTAGTAAGGTTGTAGGATGTCGTTGCTGACTGAGCTGAAAACACTAGTTCGAGGCCAGACTTCCGGCGAGGAAGTTTAGGAAATATGTATGTGTTGGTCCGTTGGCTGCTGCGGAGAAGTTGAATGAAAGCAAGGAAAAGGTATGACGACTCTCTTGAGAGATTCAATTTTATAAGGTCTGCTAAGAGGATATGCGGAAAATAGGTAGTACATGTAGAGACAGTTGAGACGGTTCAAAAGTAAGGAAAGAAATAGTAGAGAAAGGCAAAACGCTGCATCTGGACCAGGTTTTGGTGTAAAAAGCAATTTTGAGAAGCAAACGAGATACAATTTGGGTCACAAGTAACCACACGCCTCCTCGAAAGGATGCCGCAGTAATCGTGAGCGAAGTTGAAAACTCACAATGTGATAACTTGGAGATTTTTATTAGTTTGCCCCACTCCATTAACGCATTTCGTACATGCGATGGCCATGGTCGTTTGATTTCGACCCTCGCACCTAGCCTTCTGAAACTCCATATATTGGTATAATAGCCAGGAAAAACAATACATCCACATCAGTCCTCCCTTCCCACGTCGTATCTGCTATCCATCATCCTACAGCAACAACGCAGCACCAGCGAATGTGGCAGCCAAGATAACTGTCCCCATCCCACTAGACAGACGATCCCCCGCAGACTTCTTGATCGCGAAAGGTCCAACAATACCGTTTGTGAAGTTGGTGGTCACCTCAGTGTCGGCTACAGTCGATAAGTTTCCACACTCGGCATTGAGGGCCTCGTCAAATCTCAATTTCAGATCAGTCATCTTCTTCTGCGCCTTATCAAGAATGGATCGTGTATAATCAGTGCCATCTGGTGAGCCGACCAGAAAGGCACCACGATATGTTGAGTTGAGACCGATTGCTGAATAGTTTGCAGTTTCAGAGTATTCCGCGCAGGTTACGACGGCCCTTGGGATGACATATGTAGGGTCAACTTCGAATCTCTGGTCGACGGGAATGGCGGAGACCGAGGCTGAGAGGGAGAGGAGGGTGACGGAGGCGATCGAGAATTGCATGTTGGCGAAATGAGGGTGTTGCTGGTTGAAATAGAATATAATTTTTTGGGTTAATTAGAAAATAGATAATGCACAGCAGAAAAAGAGTGGCCAGCCACCAAACAGAAGGTACGAATTGAAGAGAGTGTGATGGAGTGATGGAGGGATGGAGTGAGTGAGCAAGTGAGAAAGAGGAAGAGAATAGAAACACATCTGGGAAAGTTGAGGTTCTTCAAGAACAAGCATTCTCAGTCCCACAGCCATACTAGAAGTATGTCTCGGATGGGGCTTGTTCCTTCAATAAAAGAACTGGGGCCTTTCTGGTGACAGAGACTTGACTTGTCTGATCTTTGAGGTGGAATCAGACCGTTGCTCGACGTATTTTTGGGGGCAATTTCTGCCAATCCTTGAATCTGGGGGTGGAATTGTTCCCGCTTGGGCCCAAATCCAGGGGATGAAACCTTGAACCGTCTCAAAGTTTCTTTTCAGCCTCCTTCCACCGTGACAGATGGTCCGGGCAGCATGTCACGGACCCGATCGTGCTCCTTTCCGACGAACTGCTGAAGAATGATCGGATCGGGTTGGGACTTTGAACCATGGATGCGGGAGGCACGCGCTAGCTGTTGCTGAAGGATGAAGATGTTGGTTTGTGCTGACGATACAGATAAAACTGCACATTGCGTTGCAATGCTGCGCGCCAGCTTTCTGCGACGGCTTCAATCGAATAAGGGCTACTCTATGCGTGGTGATTGGCCTTACTTTGCTCCATCTGCCATTGTCTTCCATCGCGAAAGCCATGGTGATGAAAATGGTGTTAAGGGTTGGCGATTCGTGAGACTCGTAATATTAAATGCGGGGTACTCCGTAGAACAGACGGGATCAGGGCACAAGGGATATTATCACGTGAGGCTCACATGATTAACTCCTAGTTTTTTAGTCGCCTCTTAGTAAGTTATATTTATCTACCTTATATTTCAGAACTTCCGAGTCTATTAAATAAGGCTCGGTGTAAGGGGTTAGCCCCTGAAGTAGAGTACTAGCCGTGCTAGTACTTACTAAGCCCTACTAAGAGAGCCCCTAGGCCTCTTTTCTCCTTTATAATAGAGCCCGAGAAGATCCTTTAGGGTTAGGGTTAGGGTTAGGGTTAGGGTTAGGGTTAGGGTTAGGGTTAGGGTTAGGGTTAGGGTTAGGGTTAGGGT